ATATAAATGCATGCATATATACACATAGACACATACACCACAAACAGCTGACTACATTATGGGTTTAAGATGGAAAGAAAAACATCCATATTGAATTGCCCAATAAAAAAAGTGAAAGGACAGAAGGAATTGGTTTGCTTTTCAAAACCACATTTGTGTTGTATGATTTTTTTTGCGGTAAATTTCAAGATTTTGCAATTTCTGGGAGAACATGCAGACCAAACAATGACTGTCCACAAGTAAACCCTAAATAAAACCAAAAGCATTATATGAACTCTATTTTCAATAATGGACAATCAAATTTTATTTTTTAAAAAGGATAAATAAGGTTGGTCTAAGTGTGGTTTTCTTTTAGACTCACCTGCAGGCATGCATCCACCAAATTTACAAATTTAAAATGGTTTTTAAATCCAGCTCCAAATCCACTTTGACAGCACCTAGATGAACAGATAAAATACACTGACCTCTCCTTTAATTAACAGAGGATATATTAAATAGTATCTGGGGAGGCCCCTTCAGAACAGGCATGCAAGAGACACATACTCTATCCAAACCTTATTCCATTTAAAAAGGGCAAACAATCCCAGGGGTATGGGGGAGGGCAGGAACTATCTGTGATACTGACTAATAGATTTAAATATAGCTTATTTTCTTCAAATGTAGCTGGTATCAAATGTCTTTCTGTACATAGAAAGTTCAGTGAGATAGGAACAGCTATTTTAGGGTTGAAGGAAGGTCAGCAGAACACAAGACAAGCATTGGTGTTCCAAGGTTCTTGTAAGGATGCTAAACTTGACAGTGCTGTTTAGGAAAATGCATTTTTACTGAAGATATGTTGGCAGAGGACTTCATAATGATTAAATGCATTAAACTAAGGACTCCCTTTTTGATCAGCAACATGACTTCTCTACTCTTTGGAACTTTGCTATCAGTAATCTTTTTCATAATAAGCAGCAGAAGAAAGACAAGGATTTTTAGTTTTAGGGTTGGAGGCTCTTCATGGGGGGGAGGAGTATTTTTGGGTTTGTTTTAAATTAAATGAAATAATATTTTCACATATTTATGCAAATAAGGTGATAATTTTCTTTTGCAAAGCAGACAAAAAAAAAAAGCTTTAAACGCAGTGATTTTTACAGTCAGGCTAAGTAACTAAAGGTTCAGACACACTCTAAATTCCATAGATGCAGGAGCTAATCTCTTCTGCTCTCCATGCAAGGAGACTATCCAGCCATGCCATCCATTGCTCCAGTTTCTCTACAGCTGCGAAGTGCAATACTTAACTGTGAAGGTGGTGAGGCCCTGGTACAGAATGCTCAGAGAAGCTTTGGATGTCCCATCCCTGGAAGTGTTCCAAGGCCAGGTTGGATGGAGCTCTGAGCAATCTAGCAATCTGGAGTAATCTAGTGGAAGGTGTCCCTGCCCATGGAAGGGGGCTGGAACTAGATAATCTTTTAAGTCCCTTCCAACCCAAATTATTCTGTGTTCCATACAGAATAAAAAAAGGGGAAAAGCACACTATTTTTTTTTTTAATTATTTTAGCAGCTTTCCATTGTTTGCTGCACTGCCTGACTTCCCTCAACTCCAGCTGCATGTTCAAACTAAAAAAATCAGATAGATTTTGCTCTTGGCAATCTTAAGTATGTATGTCACTTACCCCTTCATGGCTGCACACCACTCATGCCAGCACTGCTGTCACTGCTTTCCAAGAGAGATTCTACAAGACCAGCCTGAGACCAGGTGATAACCTGAGCCAGGTTATCAGCAGTGCCACAGAACTCCCAGCTCCCAGCAAGTTTAAATTTAATCTGCTCTCAGCATCCTCCCAGGGGCTAAGGCCCAGCAGCTTCCCGGAGCACAGCTGCTCCCAGAATAGGTCCTCTGAGAGCACACAGCCAACACTGCCACTCTGCTTAAAAAAGAGTCTTGCTCTGATGGAGATCCCAGCGGACCACTTGGACAGGTGTTTGGGTAGCACAGACTTTCTGCTCCATCAGACCCAGTGCCCAAGAGCTGCTCTTATTTCTTTTGAAGGACCCCAGTGTGCACCTTTCCATGTTAAATAAACTCAACCTTTTCTTAAAACCACTTCCACAGCTGAGAAGATACTTTCAGAATTCCGTGAAAAACAATTAGTTATTTTTCCAGACTATCCACAAACAAACCCAAAAATAAGCTTAGAGTGATGGATCTATTTGTCTCGCTTGTTCCCTTCAAGGATTAATTACACAGTAACCTGCACCCCTAATTAGGATGTTTGTGACTCACATTTCTGAGAGCATGAATTGGACGATATTTAGTTCTGCTAAAAGTCACACAGCCCAGGATATGGAAAACTACCACTGGACAGCTGTATTAAATAGAAATAAAAGACAACTGAGGGAAATTAAACTTCATGTTACCTGTTCCTTGAGGTAACTGCAAAGACAATATTCCGCTTTACCTAAAATAAACCCAAGAAATGGAGAGTGAATATGGACCACCAAACTGCACAACTGTAAACACAGTGGAACATAGTTTTTCAGTGAGTGAAGTCTTTATGTTTGAAAGAATCTAGGACATTGCTGGTACTCTTGATCTCTACCATTATATTCTTGCAGTCCAACTATCACTGTGGCTTTTGATCTTTTACCAAAAATCTCAAGTTTTCAAAGGATGCAGGAAGTTGGCCCAGTGGTCCATGCTATGTGAAGAGATGATGCAAGTATTTTCCAAGCTGAACTTAATGTCTATTGCTTTGCTCCCTACAGTCAGAGAAGACTGCATTTTTACCCATGTGTTTTAATTTTTTTTAGTCATACATGTCTATGTGTGAAATCCTGAAAAAATTAAGAGATTTAGCTGCCACTTTTAACTTATGCCAAAGGGCATAAATTAGATAGGTCTGCTAAAACTAACTGTCCATGACTTACTAAATGTAATTGAGGCTGCTATGACTGAGGAATTGTCATTCTACCTAATCTCTCAAAGACACACTTCAATTAACAATGAATGAAGCTGGTTTTTGGAACTCAACAGTAAAGAGGCTATGATGGTTAGCACATCAACGAAGCAGAATAATTATTTCACTGTGCTTATTATCTAGTGCCTAAAGAAAGCCAGAACACTCAACTGTTAAACAAGCAGTGATAAGCTACTAGAGCAATTTTGTGTGCTAAAGATACAATTCTCTACAATACTGCTCCTGGAGGAAAAACAAATTTCAACCAGCCTAAGTGTCTCGTGTGTAACAATCCAAGGGCAAAAATGAGAGGTTCCTACCCAAACTCTTCACTGTGATGTACCACAGGCTGCTCCACATCCTTATTCTGCACAAGTGGAAGAAAGTCTCTACCTGATGTTTAGCTCAAGCTACAATTACCTGTGGTTTGATTTTATCAGTATCCATAAGTACCCAAAAGTGGGTAGCAAGAGGAAGGATCCAGGCTCTTCTTGGTGGTGCCAAGCAATAGGACAAGAGGCAATAGGCAGCAACTGATGCACAGAAATTCCACCTGAATATGAAGAACTTCTTTAGTGTGCAGGTGACCATGCACTGGAATAGATTTCCTAGTGAGGCTGTGGAGTCTCCCTCACTGTGGAGTCTCCCTCCCTGTGCCCTGTGCTCTGGGGTGACCCTGCTTGAGCAGGGAGGTTGGACAAGATGAAACTGTGGTCTCTTCCAGCCTGACCCACTCTGTGATTTCCAGAAGTTGATGTGATGAGCTGTGGCCCACTGTAGAGAGTGGCATTCCTCAGGCCAGGTTATTGTTGAATACTGGGAATTGATGCTATTCCTCAGCCAGGGCTCATTCTCAGTCCATCTGCACAGAAACACCTGGAGAACATGGAAGCACCCAGCATCTTGCCTTTGTTGACAGCCCCATCTCGTGCAGCTCCAGCCCTAACACACACCCTCTACACACTTAAGCCTTGCTCATCTCCTCTCCCCATCCAACCATTCCCGTTTCCTGGTCATGATGAGTAAGTACATTTGTTACCAAAAAGGCCCCGTGTGTGAAATCCTTACTCAGTTCACCAATTTCTTCAGATCAAATACAAAGAATTACTAGTAACAGTGATATTCTAAGTTGAGACTGTTAACATTAACACAATGAATTTTATGTAAAATATAAACATTTATGAGGTATGAATACTGCCTCTCTTCCAGCTTAAGACTGATACACACGTAGGCTTTATCCCTACATCACTTTTTAGAATCTTCTGCCCAAAAGAAACAAAGACTTTGCATGTGTAGTACTCAGTCCTGCAGCTACCTAGCACAGGGAATTTCTTATGGATCTTGAATTACAAAAAGGCAATTTAAGGTGCTAGGATAGACCAGAAATGAACACCCTGTGGCAGCCCTTTTTGAAATTTTTGCCATTTGTAGAAGCAAGATCTGTGAATCTCTTGTCTTTTTACAGACCAGCAGAGTGATGCCTCTGGAAGGCTGTTTTTCTCCTTAGGATGCAGAAGCAGATCTCTCTCAGGTTTTCTTGGATGAAAATGTACCCACCACAAATCTTAAGCAACCCAGCAATTTCTGCTTTTAACAACTGTCATTCTCACACAAAGTCTTCTGCAAGAACTACTGGTACAATAAATGCTGTAAAAAAATGTTTTGGTATTGTACTCTGAGATATGATATGGATTGACTTGAGTAAACTCTCATATTTTTAAGCCCATATTCCCCTATTTTCATATATCTCCGGGGGAAAAAAAAGTTAAGTCTGTAAACATCTTCTTTTCTTCCTCTGTCCTCACCAAATATCAATTAATGCAAAACCAGCATATTTATCTAGATCATAAGGGTTGCAAAACTGAGTCTGATGACCACTTATATCTGATGGTTCTGCTATCTTACACATATCCTGGTTAACTGCATATATTTCTGAATTCAGAGGTAAGATTAAAAAAGACAATCATCAGCATTAATTATATATGAGATCTTGTTAATAGTCAAAATTAAATGCTGAAACAGAAAACAAAAAAAAATCACAAATGTTACACCTTAAGAAAGTTGGATTCATTAGAAGTTTATACTTTTGTTTTCTTCTTCTAGAGTTAAAAAAATTAACAATTGTTTAAGTACACAATTTAAAAACCAGTGGCTTATGACTGACATGTTTTCATTCAATTGTCGATACTGCTTTAAAAAAATCAAATGCAATTCCTACAGTTACAGCAAATCAAGAGTCATAAGAAAATATTTACATTGCAATGTTCTAACTCATGCTTCACAAAATGGCCACATAATTGATTTAAGTGTCATCTGTGAACCATGTTGTACTCAGATGCAGACCTGTTTTAGGATTCCAGCCATATTCTGCTAAGAGGCTTAACAGGAGTAAATCGGGGTTTTAGATCTCTGGCCTCTTCCAAACAGGGATGCAGATGACAGTTTATCCTTGCAAAGACAACCCCACTTCCAAATCAGCCCATTTGACAGCAGCCTAATGAGAGGCAACAGGATCTATACCACCCAATTGCAATGGGATCTACACCACACAATTTGTGTTATGTAAATGCTGATATGCTGCTAGAACAGTGGAAAAAAAAAAATGTTTGGCCAGAAGCAAAAAAATCAGCTCTTTTTCCTTCCGCTTCTGTGACTTAATGAAGAGACACACTCTTAACTAATTGCTTTGGCAGGCCAGCAGGCTGCCTGTGCTTAATGACACCATTAGGAATTCCACAAACTTTCAGCTTCTAACACTAAGAACTTTCAACATGTGCATTTTAAGAGTGAACCTTGGAATTCTTTTTCTTTTTAAAAGATGCTTTTCCTCTCACTTCTTCCCATTAGCTGCTGCATCAAGCATAACAATACACAAATATGCAACATGCACTTCAAACTGGGCACTTGAATGTCCCAGGAAAACTTAATACTTACAGAACACCCCTCCTGGCAAAATGGCAATCAGAGCAACTATGAGTTCACAAATAATAGAAAACTACCTCCTGACATGATTGCTTCAGGCTTGCTACATACATCCAGCATACATACACCTGCACTTCCTCAAAGCTCAACGGCTCTTCATTTTGCAGGTCTGAGTTGTGAACATGCACCAAAATTCCCTTTTCATACCTACAACAGAAAATGAAGATTCTAAACATCAGATAGCATATTTGTCCTTCTTCACACTCAATTTGATTCCTTTTATAGGCTAGGACAACACTCTTTTAAAATTTAGAAATTCATAAAAAAGAAACAAGCAGACAAGCATTCGAAAGATGGCTGGCTTTTCTCCTGGAGGCTACTTTTTTTTTTTTTAATAAAAATCATGTAACATTTTAAAAAAGATAACATTGCTGTAATTCAATTAGTTTTCTTCCTTATTTGTTTTATGCAGTAGAAGATATAATTATCAGCTTCCTACAAACAGCTGACATTTTGGTTAGATTGGAACAGGACTGTGGGACAACCAGATTTAAATGCAGATCCAGTAAGGATGCTAACATGCCCAAACTGCAGCTTCCCAAACATCTGCTTAGCAGCCTAACTGTCTACACAATGAGATTCACTGACCCAGAGAGGAGCTGTGCATGAGCCCTGCAATATTGGCCAGGACAACAGCTTGAACAGGGCAGGCTCAACATCAGATCACCCCATACAGCTTTTCTTCCCCTCCAGCGTCCATGAAGTCACTGACACAGTGAACATCCAGTTATTTTAGTCAAACTGGAAACTCTACTGCTCTGTTAGCAAATGCATCACAACTCTACAGCCTCAGTGTTATGGTATTGTTCCCAGGATAAAAAATTGACAGTTCAAACTGTCAAGCAGAGGTCACAAACTAAACAAGCCCACAGCCTTACACATCATTACCTGGCACCCCTGCCCCTAGACCTGACTATTTAGTAAGCTCACAATCCTCCTTCTGATATTGCTCCTCAAGAGACAGTACACAATAATGGAATTATTTCCAGACAATCCTCAGGAAACAACTGCAAGGAAAGAAACACTGCTAAAAGCTACCTCTGGACATAGACAGGGCAAGATAATTAGGACCAAAGGAGGAAAGCAGAGCCCTGCCACCTGCACTCCATAATCACTTATAAAGGCAGCTCTGTGACAAATATGCTTTGTGCTTGACATGACTGTTTTTGTCGTTCTTTATAGGCACTAAATGTATCCAACACATGATGCAAACTCTTGTACATAAATTTGGATTCCAATGCTGCGGTTGACATGAAATTTTAGGAAGTGCGATGCTCACAGTGGTGCTGTAAAGTCTGTCATGGATCAGTTTCTTCTACCACAGCCTCCTGAACCACCACAGTTCAACTAAAGATATGGTTATTACAGGTATGCCAGTAGATTCTGTGATCTGAAATGACTGGCACTTCAGAGCGTCAAAGAACCTCCTGCACCTTAAAGAGTACAAAAAAATATTGCAAGGAAGAAGAAAAAGTTATGCTGGTGACCATGTACATGGAAAAACAATCTGCATATCAAAGTGAAAAAGCATCTTCTGATCAAAGTCTCCTTCATTCCCAGACCATCTTGTACACAGGATCCCCAACTTGAATCGTTCCAGTTTTGTCAACAGCAAAGTATTTCCCAAAGAGAGGACTGGTTTTGTAAATGTGTTTCTCAGATGGGTCACATAAGCGGTAACTGCAAAGAGAAAGCCCTTCTTTAGAATAAGTGCTAGCAAAACCTACACATCAAAATATCAGTGATGAAAGAGAAGACAAAGAAGACATGCAAATAATGAAGCCTTGTTTTGGTCATCATACTAGACTAAAAACGAAATAAATATTCTAGTTAAGAGAAGCAAGCAGTTCAAATGGAGGGAAAAAAACCTTACTGTATTCACACATTCATGTTTAATATATAAAAAAAATCCTTTTATAAAGAAAAGTCAAAGAACAAAAGTTAGACCTTTAGATACCTTAAATACCTGCTACCCCAAGCTTTTACTGTAGCAGATGTGACAGAGACAGGGAATGTGAAGTTTGCAATAAAGAAGAGAACTTCCTGAACTTTCTTACCACATAGAATTGCAAGAAGTAGACTGGAAACCAATATACACAGGCCTTCACATTGCATTATGTCCCACACACACTTCAAACCACTTTTAAAACACTAGTCTAACAGCTGTTGGTGTCTAGCCTAAATCCTCTCCCACAGTTTAAGAAATAGTGGTATTTTTATAACCTTTTCAATGTTTCCAAGGGCTCCTTCCTGTCGATGACCCCAGTGTCTGGATTAACGGTTGTTAAAATACACCTGCAATGACAGACAGTGCCAAATCAGTCAGGGCTTCTTATCACAAACCTCTTTGTTCCTATGTAAAATAAAGGTCTCCAGTGTTTACCTGCCACAACACACGGTCCCTTTCATCTCCACATCACCAATAAGAATATCCTCCCAGGTGTCCTGAGGGAAGTAAACATTAGGCATATATTAGACACAAGCACATGTAATTACTTTTCCAGAAGTGGCACAGTCATTCACAAAAGTGTGCACCATTTCAGATGATCACCTTTACTAGCACCTTCAAAATATGCATAGTTACACTACAGTACTATAATGAAAACCCTACTGTCACTGCATTTATCCAGTTCAGGACACACTAATCATTCTATCCAAAAAGACAGACACACAAGTAATGAATCCTCTTCTGCAACATACACTTTTCTGAATCACTGGACCTAAAGCAATTTGTTCTTGCTCTATGGGTGATAATCTGACCTGTGGCCTCTGGTAAATCTACAGTTTTGCATAAAGGAAAGTTTTAGGGGAAGTAAATTTTTGTTTCTCATCTACACAAGCTTTCTATTGCAAATCATCCTGGGAGATAAAAATCTATTCCTGCTTTAGGGGCTTCTACAATTTGAGAAATAATCATCCACAGACCTGTGACCTCCATCAATGTTTCACATGCATTGATGTGAGCTGAAGCTTTATCTCTCTGGAACTGAGCTGTAAAAATCACATAATAGCAGCTTTCCTCACCCTTGTTGGCACCATCACACAGGGCAACTGAGTTATAAAGAAACATAACCAAACCTTCAAAAAGACATTTAAGACAATTATTTTACCTCCTCAAAAGCACTGCAGTCTGTTACAAAAATATTTGGCCTGAAGTTCTGTATCTTAGCTTTCTTTTCCAGCCTGGTATTTAAATCATCCATTGAAGCTTCAGAGATGATCAAGACTGGGCTGCAGTCAGGATAGGCAATCTACAGAAACAAACATCACCAAATCCTAAGGTTGCTGTAAGAGCATGGGAGGAAAGTCACGGCATGGCAAAAGACATGGCAAAAGATGTTGGAATCAGTGGCCATTTAGGTTGCTCTGGTCAAGTTTTGATTTTCCTGAAAGTAGGTTAACAAGGAAAACAAGATGCTTTTCCCTATTTCAGTCACCATGGCAATTTTTGTGTGCTCAAATTGCCTTATCACAACACCAGAGGGAGTTCTACATCCAGAACAGCCCATACTCAATTACAGCTGTCCACTCATCAGTCTGGGATCCCTGGGCAGTGGGAGGGCCATATTAGCAAATAAGGCAAATGAACAGTATTTAAAAACCTCTAAACATCCATGAAGTGGAGTTCCACAGAGGTAGGGGGAGAGAAAAAAAAAAAAAGAAAGAGACATTTTGGTAATAATTTTAGTATATAACCCTCCTGCCTTTCTCTTATGTTATTCTTACTCCATTCCTGTACATACCTTTCAACCACAAGATGATGAGCATTGAAATAAGTATCCAAGAAATTCTGCCTTTTCTTTTTTGCTACAATTCCAGAACATCACCCCTCCTTATCCAAGTCTCTTCTGATGAAACATTGTGCTTCTATTGATCTCAGTGCCCTTACATAAAAAATGCATACCTATAGAAGTCTATACCTTCTTCTCTTTGTGCAACAACAAGCAAAAACACTGATGCCCTACAGACAATAACATCACTAAAGCAAGGTACTTGCAATTTTAATTTGTTTAAAAACCTTATATTTGGTACAATTCAAAGTATCTTCACCTGAGAGAATTCTTCAGAAGAAAAGATGGGCAGCAGTGGCTAAAATGCTATAAGGATGTCTGAGCACAGCATTTCCTTTCCATGACACTTCTCTAATATCATACCTTCAAGCCTCTTCCACAGAAAGAGATAAGAACTCTGAAACTTCCTTGGAATTTTAATTCCTAGACCCACAGCTGTAACCATTCTGCTTAAACATCATTCCTTTGAACAAAATACAAAGTAACACAACTTGTATCAGTATACTCCCAGACCTAACAAGGGATAGGGAGTAGAATCCTGTGCAACACAGATTACACCATCAAAACATCATGAAAGATGTAACTTTTTTGTATTCAGTGAGACACAGAAGGGTATTGTATTCTGCAATGTAAAAGTTCCTCTTCAACTATCAGTTTCAGACTCTTTAGCTGTGAATGGTCAATAGTTTAAAACAAATTTGAAGTAAAAATTAAGCAAGTCGCCTCTTTACAGAAAAGAATACTCACAAGGTTTTAGCATACAACTACACACCGTGCTAAACTGGGCTCAATTACCAAAGATGGAAGGGGCAGGTTCTGGTGGGTGGGTGAAAATGGTTAAAAGGACATATTTCTGAGAAAAAGTGTTCATTTACCTCATCTGTGTTTCGGAAAAGGGCTATCATATCCTTTGACTTTCTTGGCATCATGGAGGGCTCAAAGTGCACCAGTCGACAGGGCTCTGAGTTCAAGAAAGTGGTGATCCACTGAGCCACTTCATCACCACAGTCCCTGCCTTGGATATCCTGTCCAAACACCCTGCAGAGTCACAACACAGCAGCACATTAGCTGGAAACATGAAGGTTCAATGAAACTTCTTATTCAAAGGTAAAAAACATGTTTTAATAGCGGTAGCAAATACAGAAAAATAATCATTCCCAAAGGGCAATCTTCTTGTGGCCACTGTGTTTTGAAAGCTAAGGAACATGGACATGACCAGACAGTAACAGCTGGTGAAAGAATGAGCTCTGAAATAGTGTTAATGTGACAGTAATAAACCTACCTGCTTGCCCCACTTTGAGGGAAAAAGGGCCTGCTCCTGCATTTGCACATGACTGCTACACCAATTGACTTCTAATGAGAAATCAGCTGAAAGGCAACTAATTTCAGAAAATGAACAATAGTTTGAAATTATGTGATTAGTTATCACAACTGATATGTACAAATGTTATTAATTAAAAGTGTCCCTAACTGTTAAGGAAACTTTCCTTCAGATACTGGGTGCTGTCAAACTTTAGCCAGAGATGAGCGAGACTCTTCAGTTCAGACTTCACATACAAAATAGCTCAGTATCTTAAAGGAGGTTAAAGATTTCTACTGGAAACAAAGTCCATGGGGCACAAAAAGCCACTGCCAGTAGAATACAAACAAGTTTATGCAAGGAACATTTTCCTGTCAAGAAAAGCTAAACCTTGACTCAATCCTTCAATATACTTTGACACCAGTCATGAGTAATTTTGTTTCACTTTTCAAAGTAGCCATTTTGACCCAAATGCACTGCTGTTTCCTATCTGCAATGATATCCTGGGCAGCTCGAAGCATCGAGATGCCCAAGCAGCTCCTCTAGAGTGAGCCCAGCTCCTAGGAGCCCTTCTTTACTCATCTAGGGGAGTGATCATTAGTGTGCTGGCATCAATATCCCTGATCCATTTGCTAGGATTCCTGTGTCTACCCTGTACATATCTGTAAGGCACTGCTTTAGCTCCAGCTTACAGGACATGAGCTCCCATAAGCACTCATCTTGAAAGCAAATTTATTAACAAAGAAAAAGAAAAAAAATAAACCAGAAGAACATATCCCTGAGCTCTAAAACTGGAAAATCCAAGAAATCCAAGCTAACTTTTCATTTCTGCAATGTATTAGGCTATTTAAATATTCTTCTAGTGACACAACGAATTTTAGAAAAATAGCATCTTGCAAACTGCACGGTTTTGCAGTGCATGTGCCATTGGCCAACACACAGGCATTACGCACAGGTTTGTAAAAGCCTGTTCCATTTCTCCAGGAGAAATGCTACCATTTGGAACTTGCACCTACCTTGCATAAACAGAGATACCGAGCTATGCTGATCAAGGCTTTCCACAGCAACGGACTTATGCTAAAAGCAAGCAAATGCAGTTCCTTGCCACCACTCTTTTAGTTACTATTACAGCATTAACTATCTCTGCTATCCAAAGAACAAACACTTACAGTATAACTTTGTAGAGCCTTACACCACTTACAGTTTCTAAACACCCACATATTAATTGACATCTTAGCAGAGAAAAGGTTTTCCTCTTTCTGCTGGCAGTTTTCCAGCACAAATTTCTATATATAGATAAAAAAACTAGGCCTGCAGTCACACAACAAAACTCTAAGCACACAGCTAAATCACTGTTTGTAACTCATTCACCTGAAACTCCTTTGGGGTAGCACCTCCAGAGAATGCCCTAAGCCCCTCGAATGCCAGTCTTTCCCTTGTGACCTCAGGGTGAGCCTTGGACTACCAAGTTTTTCACTGAGGCACCTCAGTTAAATGGCTAAAGACAGGGGCCAGGGAGTCTAAACTCCAACATCTCACCAGCTCTGAATGGCCAGCATGCATGCAAAAATGCTGATGCACATAGTGATCAAGAAATACTCAAGTGCATGACTGAGGCTCCGAGATGCAGCTGCTCACCCAAGCAAGAACAAAAACACTAGAAGCAAAAACAAATAAGCAAACAAGACATTCTATAAAGACAGAAGATCACAGTTCATTTGGCAGACGTGTAATGCATGGTCTTTGATACTGTGTCATCTTTTCCTGAGCTTTGTTTTCACCAGTGTTTAGCAGATTAAAAGCAGAGCTTTTGTTATGACAACCATTCCCGGCCTCCTGTGTAATACATGGCAGAGAATTTCACAGAATTACAGAACAGTCTGGATTAGAAGCAACCTTAAAGACCACCTAGGACAACTCCCCTAGCATAAGCTGAGGCACCTTCCACTAGACCAAGGTGTTCAGAGACTCATCCAAACTCACCTTGAACACTTTTAGACATGGGGCACCCACATCTCCTCTGGACAACCTGTACCAGTGCCTCACCACCCACACAGTGAAGAATTTCTTCTTAACACTAATCTAAACCTACTGACACCACTGTGCCTTGTCTTGTCAGTACAGGCTGTGGTTTGAAGTCTATCTCACTTAAGCAGACAGTGAGAAATACCCACACAGAAAAGATACAGAGCTACTGAACTTTTACACTTCAAGTTCTGTATAAGGAAATGAGAAGCATTTCATATTACATACACAATCCTGAAAGGAAAAGCACATGAGAAAGACAACACTGAGAGAGAGGGAAGCGGGAAAGAAAAATCCTTCTTCAGTACCTGCAGTTGTGGACGGGATTTTTCTTGGGGAGCTTTACAGGCACGCTTATCTTCTCCATGTCCCCGGCCTCCAAGATCAAGTTCCCGCTTTCACAGCGGGCAGAAATAAGGACGAGCCGCGGCTCCTGGCGAGCTGTCACCATGTGCCCGTCCTCCCTGACCACCAGCCAGAACCTGCGGCGGGACGGGGGCACAGAGGCGCCCAACAGCGTTAGCGCCGGGCCGGCAGCACCCGCGGGCGCCCGGGAGAACAAACTCCGTCACCCGCGGCCCCAGCCCGGCCGGCCTTACCTGTCCCGCATCTCCCCGCTGCGCAGCCCCATCGGCGTCACCTGCGCCCGCCGCACCGACACGCCCCGGCACGACTTCACCGGGTACACGAAGAGCCTGAGCACCGTCCCGACCCGCTGCAGGCGGCGGCGGCGGCGCGGGCCGGCCCAGCGCCAGGCCC